AGAGAGAGAGAGAGAGAAAGAAATTTCACGGAAGCGGCTCGACGAAAAGCGAGGCGAGACGTGGCGTCGCGGTGCGGACGCATCTTTTAACATTAATTCATAAGTATAAGTATGGAATAGGATTTAAAAAAAAATAAAATAAAATAAAAATAAAATAAAGAGACACTCGAGTGTCATTTGTAAGTACGATTGAAAAGCCAGCATCATTCACGCCGCGGCGCCCGCTTGCTATAATAAGAATTTCTTCTCGGCCGCGATGCGCTCCGACTCGAACGATTCACTTCAGATTTGTTCCGCTTCCAGTGTCTGTGCCCCGATTCTGCAACTCTTAACAGTGTCAGGATCGTTGTATTATCGTTGTGCAGATATGGATAAAAACCTGCGCAACGACAACATAACGATAACCGTTGTCAAGAGTTACGGAATCGGGGTACTGTAATTCTTCACACGACTACCAACAGTTATGACGGTATCGTTAATTAGCGACAGCCAATGGCGAAAAGGAAATAAACGCGACTCTGATTAGTCATTAATTAACGATACCGTCGAGAACTGTCGATAGCCATGTACAGAATACAAGTCCAGAAGTGTCGCACGAATGTTCCCTGTAGTATGTTTACATCTGAGATCTGCTGCAGTATATATGTGCACAGCACCGTGTTTGACAATGGTAAGTAATGTAAATGCTGGAGAGTCTCAGAGTGAAATTATGAAGAAATATGGGCAAGTGTCTCTCACACACACACACACACACACACACACACACAGAACGCGCGAATAATGTTAAACGTAAAGATTAATAGCTAGCTTAATATAAAGTAATGTCCCGAAGAAACTCCTCCAGCGTTCGTACCTACTTATGTCAGGCACAAGTCACGCGAAATGAATGTCAGATGTAAACTTGTCGCCACCTCGGCCGCCACTGCTAGCATCTCGTCTCACGTTGTGGAACCGATCGGGAAAGAGAACGACGTTTGGCTTGGCCGAGACCACCGAGACCACGACGGCGTATCGCAAGCTCAAGAGACTCATATTATATATTTATTCTTTCGTTTCTTTCCCCTTCACAAACAATATACTCTCAGGAATTCATTGAAACGTATCGGTGGACGACATAACGTAATATTCGCCACGTTATAAAACGACCAAGAGAGCGATAGAATTTCGAGCGCATCGCGGCGCGCCCGCGCGATCTCCACTTGCGACATAGATTGGTATTACGTCGCGACAGGTAGACATGTCAACCATTATACATTACACGTAACAAAGGACGCGTGTGCTCTCCCGAGGATCATCGTGATCGGGAGGCGTGAGACGATATATAAACGCGCGTCTCTCTAGTCAAATCGAAATTGTCGGTATCGTCGCGAGCGGATAACACAAGCGACAACACAGTCAGTCAGCGTTTGGCTACTGCCCTGTAGATAATATATAGATAGGTATAATGAACGAAGAAAATTAATTATAAATATAAATATATAAATATATATATATATATATATAAATATAAAGAGAGAAAAATATATATATAAATATACAGAAAAATATGTGCTATGTTCTACATAGGTGCCGAATGCAAGCGTGCGAGAATAACCGTGAGAGAGAATGTGAGGGTGATGCGTGAATCTTTTTAATCTTCGATTCTTTGTTTGACGCGAGGACAGCCCGTCCACCACGACCGAAAAGATGACGCTACTAATGGAGATCTCAAGCCGATTTTAATTCTAGCATCGACTGCTCGCGTGACATCGATGCAGAAGACGAACGTGATACAGTGAAGATCATAAGCAGTGAGAATGCGCGAGTAAATTGAGAGAGAGAGAGAGGAGGATAGAGCGATAATGATATAAATAAGCGTAAATATCCTTTTAAGACTTGTGAATGCAATATTATCTTATTATTATTGTCATTGTTATTATATTATATTGTTATAGAGTAATTATTATTATTATTATTACTGCTATGCTATTATGCGACTATCGTAATTACTATAAATCCTTGTTTCTTTTTCTTTTTTGCTGCAATTTTCGCAAGCAAGTCGCAACAAGTATTGTGATATAGAAATTTTGTGATATAGAAGTTAAATGTCTTCGTCGAAGACACTCGCACTTTTCGCTCTCTCCTCTTCTATCCTCAGCAGGGCTGTTCATTTAGGACCTCAACGCGATTTCTGGAGGCCTCGCGTCGGCATCGTCGATGAAATTAAGTGGTGAGATTGCTCGAATGTCGTCTTCATTAATAAACGCACAATTTTCTCAACCTTCGATCCCCTGCTTCTTTCTTCACGAGGAAATCTCCCTTAAAATCTGTGGGCGGAGAGGTAAGGGCATGCCAGATCCACCATCAGCACAGTTGCGATCGTGCATGAATCTCTCCCGACCCTTGCATATGTTAAGACTTTCCAATTTTTATTTTCAAAGCAATTGGTGAACTCCTCCAGCGCTATGTGTACAGGTAAGTGTCATCTAATTTTATAAATTCTCGATTAAACTTGGATGTATCTTGAAATGATATGATTGATTGAATTATATTCAACTATTTGGGAGAAATGTTAAAAAGAAACATTGGAAACGCTACCATAAATTTTTATTTTTATTCGTTGCATTTTTAAAACCTTAACAATTATGTTTTTTAATATATATTATGTCAAATAAGAAATATTGTAAATATATATGACATTAAAAAAATTTATTACACCATTTCATAACAGTATAAGATACATTGCAAATGTGAGAATTTTATTATCAAGAAAAGTTTATAAAGTTTTTTTTTTCAAAAAATAAATCATATACAATTCATGTATAATAATTAACAGACAATATAAAATTGATTTTTATTAACTTTGAAGTATAAAGCCATCCACTTTTCTAGAAATAATCTGTTAGAAGCTGATTTACGTGATGTCATTGACAATATAAAAATGCCATGCGTAACAATATTGCAAATTCACATGCAATGTATTATTAAAATAATATAGAGCTACCAAAAAATCCAAAACAATAATAAAAATATGATAATTAAATAAAATAATTTATGAACAAATTTATGTAGCTTACAATTATTACCAACTGTCAGTAAAACAGCGTAATACTGCTAGTAAAAATTATGAATCTACTTTATATGTATAATCTATGGTTTCGCTAATAAGTGATTTAGTAGTGTTAAAATTTAAATAATTTGTAAAATTAATGTGTTAAAGATTTTTAAAGAAACGCATCGTGAAGAAAGATTAAAGCCGCAAACTAAAACACAGTTTAGATTATTTATTATTAAAGAATTATTAGATACGTATACAAGTAAAAATTTAGATGTTAAAAAATTCATACAAAAATATATACTACAAAATGCGTGACAAATGCAAACAATTTGTTAAAGACAATCCACAAATATTGTTAATGCATGCAGACCAGGAAAAGTCATCGCTATGGATAAATTGGGTTATATTAATAAAATGAAAGCTCTATTATCTGACACTGATATATACTTTAAAAGATAATTTAAAAATCTACCTGAGAACGTTGGCTTTTGATACTAATCAAATGATAAATGATTTTCCCTGACTTATATTTTTTTATTTAATTTTGATTATTTTTACACAATTGACAAAATTCGCAATTTTTAATAGTTGAATAACTCTATTCCTTCTTAAGGAGTGAACAATATATCTTTTCATCAGAATTATTTTTAATATTTAATTTTTTCAATTTTTAACTTTAACTTTGACATATATTTTGATTATTATGTTATTTAGAATCATGATGAGAACAATTGATTAGCCAGTCTTTTGGATAATCTCGTTGAAGCATTCCACCAAGCCGAGTTACAATGTTGTCATCTAATTCACGTCGTACATTATAATGTAGTTAACATATTTTCGTATTAATGTTACAAGAGGGAATAGTAGGATAGATAAGTAATCTGAAGATGGCTCAAATTGATAGCCAAAACATGTAATCTTTGATGAACACTTTTGTATATTTATTAATTTTTGATTGTCAAGTATTGTGTTTACATATATATTGATTGGCGTGACTCTTATTGGCCCTTGACTTATATTAAAGTTTTTTGATACTTGATTAATGTTGTCTCATGTAATTGTCGTTCATGTCTTTGAACCCGCCCGGAAAGTTTCGTTTGTCCTGTAATAATAAAAAATCCGTCTCATTAATTTTTCTTCTTCATATTGAAACTGTAATAACGAATTCGATTGGCGTTTCTGAGTGGCACTCAGTGCGCACTGGTACACATTAAAGCCATTGTACGCAAATTAACGTAAAGATATGTTATAAATAAATATAAAAATCAGATAAATATCGTGAAATACTCGATACACTTTATTGTACTGTTAGGTAAAATAAGTATACTGTACTATTCGAAACATTTGCATTTCATTTTTACACTTAAATTAAATCAGTGTACATACAACGGTTTAATATGCAGTAATGCACACTAGTACGTCCAATTTGCCATTATTAAACTTTATATCTCTAGGACTTACGTTAGACGGTCTATCGTTGCTGGGCTTTTTGTCATCCTTCTTTTTATCATCCTTCTTTTTATCATCCACATTTTTGGAATCACGTTTTGCTGGTTGGGAACAACCGTGCTGAAATAATTCGGTATAAATTTATATATAATACGTATCAAATTCTGCCAAACTGCGCGCCAGATTTTTGAAACGCTACACCGAGAATTACCGTAGTAGTAGGTTCTTTTTAACTAAAATTCTTGCATGGCATCTCTCTTTCTTTTCTTTCTACGTTGAAAAGAAAACGAGAAAAGATGAAACGTACAAGAAGTTCAACTAAAAAGAACAGGCCTACCTATCACAAATTGCTTAGTAATTTAATAATTTGACGATAGGCATCTTAGAAAGATCTTAATAATGCTGATAAATATATTAAAATTTATAAATAATTTATATGTATATATATTACAAAAAAATATTACCTTATTTCCTTGTTGGTTCATATCTGTGTCGAATAAAGTTTCTTCTCTCTCTCTATCTTTTCTACGAGCGTTTTAAGCTTCTCTCTAGACCTCTAAGCTTCTCAATCGCTGTAGACTCTATTTTTAGTTTGGAAAACCTACAATAAAAATAATTAAAACATTTATTTAGAAATTTATTTATAAGTTTTCAGAAAAGTCTTTTTTCTGAGATACATGTGTACATTACGGATGCAATCACAATCTTACGCGTACACGTTCTCCGTGCAATTCATTATTTAAAATTATTCAAAATGATCTCATTTTCTAAATCATCTAATTATTTGATTATGTTAATTATGTTTTACGATAAAAAATTTTATTTTTAATAATAATCTGTTTAAATGTTCGAAAGTATTAATTGTCACTGGTTATTTTTATCGAGACATATATTTAAAATAAAATGCAAGTCCGAACAATTAAAGTGATATATACTTTGAAAAATATATAATATAATATATATAATATATATATATTCTTTTATTAAATCAATTTATTTCAGATATGACTGCGCGTCGAATATTTTTCTGACTTTCAGCACAATCAATCTGAAACGCTAATAATCTCCCCCTAAATTAAACTGTAAAGAACTTATTGCAAAAAATATTACCTCAGCCAGGGTTCGGACCTGGGACGACTTTCCGGGAAGAGTGTCTTAGCCAACTCGATAGTATGGAAGTAAGCTCCGAATCTTCCGTACTACGTAAAACTTCCATAAGTAAGAAAAAGGAAACTCTGATATGATCTGAAAACAAAATAATAAGATCGCTTTAAAATACTTATAAAAATACAATAGATAAAAGTTATATGTTCTTATATCCTTTCCTTTCTGATAATCAGTAAATAGTCATAAAAGGCACATGAAGTGAAAATAAGTCTTCAAACTTGTTCTATTATAGTAGTCTCTGTCTAACGGTCAACATTTCTATAAATAAATTTTCCTATCCTCTTTCTGCAAAATAAGTAAAATATCTTGAAAACGAAACATTTGTGAAAAATATATTACAAACATTACAGTTTCAACAAAGAGCATCAAAAGCGATTTGGCGATTTGACCTCGAGCGCAGCTATGAAGAAGTTGTCAAAGTCAACTTTAAACATTTTTATGGAAATTCTTATTTTTTTATTCAATATTATTGTAGGTCTTTCCAAACAATCTTTCAAAACATTACAATGAAACTCCTTTTGGTTAAATATTTTCGCGATATTTATTGTTTGATAAAACTCAGATGTCATCGGTATTAAGCTAATATAAAAAAAAGATAAGAAAGTAAAATTCCGTAATCAAAAGCGCAGATTTTGAGGGATTTAGATGTAGTTTATTTGCTACACACACACACAACACACACAGATCATTCAGCAATTTGTTTCAAAATCATGGAAATAACTGCCAGAAAGGAAAAATCTACACTGAGAAAAAAATGCTGTTGATTCAATTAAAGTCTATATTACGGGCTGTTACTAACATAAGTGATTAATTCATGTATATTTTTATCGACATAAAGGCATAAATTATTATTTCAATAATCAAGGCCTTTATGTCAATAAAAATATACATGAATTAATCACTTATGTTAGTAACAGCCCGTAATATAGACTTTAATTGAATCAACAGCATTTTTTTCTCAGTGTACAATAAAAAGATTAAATAACAAAGTACTAAAGATAGAATCTTGAGGAACCCCTGATAAAATTTTAAACAATAGAATAGAATACAATAGAAACTAGGAGAACGGTTTTGAACAAGAACCTACTGAAATCGGTTGTATAAGAAAGGAAGGAGCGAGAGAGAGAAATTACTTAAGCTATAATAATGCGTTATGACCATCAACATTTATAACTGTATCGAAGGCCTTAGAAAAATTTAAGGCCGCAAAGTTGATAAAGAGCCATTATCAAAGGAGGGAATTCTATTGTTATTAGTCTTCTTTACACTTGGTACGTGAAATAATTGTATTTTTTGTATAATTCTTACAAATAAATTTATTATAATTTTGACATCTTCCTCTGTATTTCGTATCATTACCGACGCAAACATAACGTAAACACTACAGTAAATCCAACATGTTAATTTCCTTACTAATTATTTTTTATTGCTTATGTCTTACGTCTTAAAATTTTCTATATGCCATTTTCTTATGTTGACTTACTGTTGATAGTATTATATGTATATTTGCATACCGTTGGTAATATAGAAATTATGCTTGATAATTAGTTTAAATTTTGGCAATTTCTATTATTATAAAATAACATAGAGCCAAAGAGGAGAATATAAAGCCGAATAATATAAAACAATGTAATTTACAAACCAACGCGGCTTACAAAAACTTAACTATTAACGACTGCTGATAAAGCAGGAATCTTAGCACTCTTATTACTAATTTGATGTATATATGTGGGTGTACACAAATTCTCTGTTATGCATTTAAATATTTATTTTTATTATGAAAACTTCTTTCATTTCATTATTTTTTATTGGCAATTTTATAATAAGTAGATATTATCAATCGTTAAAGTCAATGGTACATAAATCGTCCGTCACTAATAATTGAATCAATATACAATCTTATTATCATTACATTCGAAATAATTGTACTTTGCCTGAATATTTCCTTTCTTTAATGCATTCGTAGGAGTAAAATAAAGCTAAATAATGTGTATAGAATATATAAGAACATTTCATAATTCTAACTCAGGAATATAAATTTAATTTTCGATGTGAACTAAGTAATTATGTCTATTAATATATCTGTTTGCATAGAATAACACATTTATGCAGTTAAATATTTTTACAAAATATGAATTTTCTATATATGTATATACATTAAAAACAAAATATTTATATAATTTAAATGCCTGATATAATCTTCGTCTAAAATTTATTTTTCCTTTTTTTCACAAACGTTTATTCTAATGTCCTATTTTATAATTATGCATACTTTCTTAATTAATATTATACTTTTCATATTTCTTGATTATGATTTTTAACCACTTATCTTCCATAATAATCCTCTCAGAGTATCTATCATGGAATTAGTTAAAATGGATTCTGATCGGAATTATTCTGTTTTTCTCTAAAAAAGAACAATAAAAATCTAGATAATGATTGTATAATTCCAATTGGAATCCATTTCGACTTATTCCATGATAACTTCCAGATTTCGTTTCAAGTTATACTTTTTAAGGTTTAATCGGTGAATCGAAAGGTTTCACGTGTATTATGTACTTGTTTTATGTATACCCGCAGTATCTCAGCCGTGGCTGTAAACTGCCGCAATCGTAATCCATAACCGTGCCAGTATCCATTCCCAAGGAACCACAGACTCCACGTGAAATCTGATGCGATACGTGCAACACTCCTGAACGAAGTATACCTTCGCGCTCCCTCACTTCGAGGAAGGAGAAGTCTGTCTTTGAAACGTGCACCCGCTTTCTTCACCTTACAAGCGCACAATCTGGTACACATTGATAGTTGAAAATGTTTTTTAGTCGATATCAAGCATGAACCTTGCCATCTGTGGCAAGTATAAATATTCTCATATTAATTTGCAAATTATCTAGACACGGCGAGCGTTATCGCATCGTATAGTCTAAATTTCAGTTTACATAACACTGAGTACCGATAGAAATATCTTTCTTAGTTAGATAATATCTGTGCTAGTAAATTTGATACTTTGTCGATAAATATTATTTTAATGTCTTTTATGAATTAAAAAATCTCGCTCCTAAAAAATATTTCTTACAAATAATTGTGGCCGTCTAAGAAAAAAGATTATATTAGAATATAGACTTTTTAAGTAAGATTTTCTTAAAAGTTTTTTTAAGTTTCAAATATTTTATTTTTAATTAAAATACTAAAATCTAAAAGTGTTTGAGTTTCTAATACTAAACTTATAATTAATTACATTAATCCGATTTCAATTAAAAAATTTGCAGGAAAGAAGCATGCGTAATGGTTCTTTTTAAAAAATATTTTAATTTTAGTAGCTCGATAATTTCTTTCAAATAACGTAAAAAAAAACGTTGCAGCAGAGGGTAGAGATACTTGTGAGTATTGATCCATACAAGGCTAAATACATATAACCTTTTTCGTGTGCAGTAGCATCGCGCGAGTCATGGTGAGCACATACACACATGCACGCGCATGCATTATCGTACGCACGTCATGCGGCTCCGTATGTGCTCGATATAAAAATCCGTTCGCCGGCATGAGTGGCGTCGGCTTTGAATTTTTTTGCTCCTGCCCTCTGGCTACCGGCGCGGCTGCTCTCCCGGGCGCTCCGCTGGAAACGATCGTGATCCAGAGGCCAAGGAGAAAATCGAATCGGCTTAAACTCTTTCTCGGCCCCCGCCCGCCCCCGTTTGTCTGCGCTGCGTTTCGTCGTGCTGACATCGTTTTCGCGGCCTTCCATACCCGATTCCTCTCCGCCTTCCTTCTCGCTTTAACCCTTCCCAATGGTGGCCGCTCCTTGGTGAAACCGCGTATCTGGAATTTCTAGCGGCGATCCGTATACGATTTTACGGTAAACCGCTACATTGCATTGCAGAAGTGTGTCTCCGAGCCCGATGACAATTAACAACGATACTTTATGTCAGCGTTTTTCAACCTTTTACAATTCGCATATTAAGGGGATGCTGGAGTGACGGTCGAACTTAATCAAGGTCGATAGTACAGACTTTTTTAAATTCCAAATTCGATAATAGTGACATCTTTCATTCATTTCTTATATTTATTATATATCGTTGCGTCTCGCTCAAACGCATTCATCTGTCCTTATCTAACATATTGCAACGCCATCTCTTAGAAAGAGATCAACTAAAGTACTGCTCGGTTTCATGGCTTCACGTCAATGTTATTCGTAGTATACGAACGAAATTTTTGGCGACTCTTTTCTCTTATACCAAAGACTCTACCTCGTTTCTAAAAGCAGAGGATTGTTCTTCGAGGTTTTCTGAAGGCTGCTGGCTACTTATTTTAAACGGGTAAAATCTGAAACTCTTACATGTAGCACATATTGTTGACTGCAGGAGCCGGTGACAAAACTACAATTTTTAATTTTCTTTCATTTTTCGTATTAAATTGTAGCTAGCAGCCCGTGTTGTTGTCGATACTGTAATCGTGTAGAAGGACTTTTCAATCCATAAACACACAATTAAGAGAAAAAAGTCTTTAAAAATTAATGGTAAAACAGGACACTCCAGCACTCAGCATAAAGGCCTAAACACAATGCGAAGGCACAGCGATAGCGATAGAAATAGCGATAGCAATGGCGATAGCGATAGAAATAGCGATAGCAATGGCGATAGCGATAGGAACAGAGGAATCCACACTGAGAGAAAAATCTTTTATATTTGTAACTATAATTATATATTACTGTAATTATGATTATTACTGCTATAATAATAATAACAGTAACTATGTATATAGTTCTACAAATGTATATAGTTGGCAACCTAAAATGACTATAGAATTATAGTTATTATAACCATAAAATAGTTGAAATTATCATAAAAATGATTCAAGTGACTATAATTTTATAGTTATATTTTGGAACAACCATAAAAAATATGATAATAAAATTATAGTCACTTGAATCATTTTTATGGTAATTTTAACTATTTTATGGTTATAATAACTATAATTATATATAGTCATTTTAGATTGCCAACTATATATATAGTTACTATTATTATTATTATAGCAGTAATAATCATAATTAGAGTAATATATAATTA